CCAAAGCTCCTGAATGCTACCCTCTCTCCATTGGCCCAAACGCATCCCAGAAAGCAAAGCAAAACAACAGAATCCAAACCCTAGCCCTGTTGGAATATGTAGCTCACCCAGACAACTTCTGCATCACGGGGCATAACTCCCAGAATTCTAAGCTTGGCCTGTGAACCAAACAGATGGACAGAATTTTAAATGGCCAGAAGCCCTTCACACATTGTATGATAATTACTGGTGCAGTACTCCTTACTAATCAGAAAATCTGTTATATGAGGTTGCGTCCCATGGAACCCATTTAGCTTAACGACAGCAAATGGTAACGGATGCTGCTTAATCGGGACAGCATTGCCAACATTTCTGTTTAATGGGGATACGTTTGGCTGGTACCAGTGGGTTAAGTGTTTTTTAACCAGGTGTTTAATGGTTGTGAAATTCTAGATTCTAGTCTTTGAATAGAGAATGTGCCAAATAAAGGTTAAGAGAAGAAGTAAAGATCAAATGTTGTATAAGTCTTTTTTTCTCCTTGTATATTTGTTCACTATAGCATTTCTCCTCCATTTTAAGTTGGAGTTGTTTTTTTTTTTTTGGACAGCTTTTTCAAATGGCTTCTTCTCTTTAATTGAGACAACCTATTAATTAGAACAATAGGCCATTCACCAGGGTGTCCCAATTAAGAGGATTATCCTGTAATTTGAACAAAATATCACTTTGCATGGTAGCTAATGCCAATATCCAGCCCAGGCAGACCTAAAACCCAGCTAAATATGGAAATTTGGTGTTATATTTTCAGTGGGAAAATATTAACTTATGCTGTCACAAAATGACATGGTTTTGTTTCTATAAAATACTCTTAATGGTTTGTCTCCTTGGTTCTTTTCTATGTCAAGGAAAGTCAGGACAGACTGCTTTACTTTCCCCTTCACTAGTGGTCCTAAAATGGATCTTACATAGGCTAGGGAAAGAGGTGTTTGCATGTCTTGGATAACATGTTTTAAAACTCAATTCCAAACAAGGCAAATATTTTATAACAAGTTATCTGTTCAAACTGGACCTTAGTGGGAAGTGTAGATTTCCTTTTGACCAGATAACTTGGCACAATGGCCATGTCCTAAAATATTCTTTCAGTTGTAAAAGATTCTACTAGGTTGAAAAATGTTCTGTATATTTGAAAGGGAACTGTCAGTATCTTAAAATTTGATGAAAGTGTATAAGCTGCCATTGTAGCTACAAAAAGCAGACGGGATGATGGAAATTTTACTGTTTCTGTGTGCGGGGCCAGAAGTGGTGCAGGATTTCTAAAAAGCACTTAAAATTGTCCTAGGTGTGCTCTTATTGAAGTCAACTGGGATTTTATCATTGATTTCAGTAAAAACAGAATTAGGCCACTACTGCTTTTGATAATCCCACCCTTAACATCTAATATAAAATGCAATAAGACAGCTATGTACAAAAAAAAGTAGTTTGTAAAGGCAGAAATTTATCATACACATTACACAAGAGGCACAAGATACTTTGCACTGGTTTCTTTTGCTTATAGCAATTTTACACCCATGTAATTCACTTGATTTTGTTGAATTAATTCATATCTATAATAGTAAAGGAGTAGTAGTTCCGATTAGCTGACCACTGTAATCTTTAACTAAGATTTCTTATGTTAAATGAACTTTATTTTAACTTCAAGTTTCAGACCCCTATTGTTGGTTTGAAGGCATATTACCTGTAGGCTGTGAACAGACAACACATTTGTCCCAGGATAAAGCATTTTTTCCTGGCATTATACAAATGAACATGTCCACTGTTTGGGTTCAAGCCCCTTTGAAGCATGCTGGATTAAATGTACTAACACTTTTTTTTCTGGGACTTCCTGTTTGTCCATATGGGTATTGCTGTTCATCCCAGGGACACAGCTGCCAGACTGTATACTTTCACTCGCCACCTAATGGTGAAGGAGCAGCAGTGTAGCTTAAAAGAATGTTGTGTAAATGACTGTCACTCCTGTTTTCATCTGGGTCAAACCCTGGGACAGTCGGTCTTGGGCCAGATGAGACATCTGTTTATAGCCATAGAAAACTTTAGAGCATAAACCAACCAACCAAACACCCCTTTCAATGTTAGTAATTCAAGAAAGGCAGGTTTAAGACCACTTCTCAAAACAGGTGTAGAGGAGACAGTTTACAAAGTGATGATGAAACAAACTGTGGCACTTTACCGTACCTGGAATCTTGTCAGCCTGTGCATTCTGAAGTATATAAACTATTTTTATGTAGGACAGAAATGCTTGTGCTGGTTGTTGACCTGATGAAAATGGATGAAGGCCATATAGACTCTCCCAGCTCAGTCAGACAACTTAATTTCTGCTGGTGGTATTTGATTTATTGGCACAAACAAGTGGAGGGGTACCTTATGAGTGGCTTTACTGCTTGTTTTCTAAAAATTCCAAGAGTATAAATTTGTCCCAGAGACACTGTCTGGAGGATTCTATTTTGTCACCCTTATAGTTTAATGTATATAGGGCAAATAAAATTAGGAAGGTTTGGTTTGCAGTGTCTTAAGTATGCAAATGACAACTAGCTTTGTATTCCCGTATCTTTCATTCCTACCAGGACATTGGGCTGATTTAAGTGGTGTCTAACAAAATTGGTCACCAACTAGTTGAGACTCAGCCTAGGGAAGAGTGAGTGCTTATGGAATTAGAGAAACAGCTGAATGAAATAGTAATAAAAATATGTGGGTATCTCCCTCTCTTTTTATATAATTGAGGCTAGGGGGTATTATATCTGAAAAGTTTATCTGCTCTGTGTTTCCAGGTACATTTTTGTAGAATTTTTTCCTGGATTTCCACGTGCTTTTGGATGTCCGAGTAGTCATAGCTGCTAACCATGCTTTTTATTATTTGCCCTTGGCAAGAAGGTTGCAGACTTTCTTTCTGGGTGTGGGACCTTGTCTTTATCACTTCAAGACAGTAGTAATGTAATTAATGTCACTTAAAGCTAATTTAACATGCCATGTAGAAATTGCCTCTGATGCCAATTGTGGAAGAGCATCACTCTTTTATGGTGTTTTTGATGAACAATATATTGTACCCATGCTGTGCAATCTCTACTGCTTTGTCAGCTAAAAATCAGGTGAAGTTTAAGCTGTTGACGTGACACGAAGCCCGAAATGTTTTTCTGGATCCCATTTACACGATAGGAGCTTGTCTTCCAGTGTGATATCATGGTAGCCATTATCATGTGATGCACTCAGTGCAACAACCCAATGGGTTTAAAAAGATGGAGCTGTAGACAGGGCATGATGCCTTTGAGAGCCATGACACTGGAACATCTTTCTTTCCCAAATCTGCTACCTCCTTGTCTTAGTGAACTTCAGGATAACCTGTCAGACTCAGATGTTTTTTTCAAGTGTTTTGCTGAAGGAGAATGGAAGGATATAAAGGTGTGTCTTTTTTTTTTTTTTTAAGTTATTTTCTTTTTTTCTCTCCTGAGGAGTGATTGACATATATGTTCATGGTAGAGTTGTTTGGGGGAAAAAAGCAGAGGGGAAAATATAAATGGGAGGAAGAAATTTCCCCCTTTTAAAAATTAATGTTTCAAATTGTTGACCAAATTCAACCAGTTTCAATTCAGCGTTTACTTTCGAAAATATTTTGTGATGGGCTTACCCTCTAGCGAAGTGTGGCAAGGAGAAGTCAGAACAAAACCTTTCCTGTAATGCTCTTTTTTTCAGACTTAGGCTTTCACATCTCAGCCTGCAGGTTTTGGTGTCATTCATTCATGTGAAGCTGATGAGGGAATTAACCCCTGGCTTCCTGTTATTAGATAGTGCTGATGCCCCCATTGTATCTGTTAGGAGATCCTGAGCAGCCCAGATTATAACGATTCCAAATCACGACCCTGGATCAAACACTACCTACTGATGTCTTTATCAAGAATAATCCACTCCCATTGTTCTAACTGGCTCACTCACAAAGAGAAGTAGTTCTTGGTAAAATATTTCTGTAGGACCAGACCCCACTGTTATTCACTGGCTCCAAAGTGGAGCTTCCTTTTCCCATTACTAACCACATGCCACTCCCCTTCGGTGTATAAAATTCAAGAAGTATACCACTGAGAACCGGCTAATGTTAAAGTGGCATTGTCATGCTGCGTTAGAGGTGACTGCCAGATCTGGGGCCACTTGGATTGAGGTGCCGAACAGGTTTTGGAGAAATGAGCAGATTTGAAGGACAAGCCAGGTCAGGAATCAGTCCAGGAGCAGGGTCTAAGAACAATCCAAATCAGGATGTGGAGGGATCAGGCAGAGAATGGAGTAAGAGAGCAAGCTGGGTTAGGAAACCAGGAGATCAAGCAGAGCAGGTTCGGAGCACCAGCTGGAGGGAACAGCAAGGCAGTCTGGGATCAGGTTAAGCCCTGTTGCCTGGACACTTCCTATTCTGGGTCAGGGCTTTATATGAGGGCAGTGGAGGGTTAGATGACCCTGACTGGCCACTTTAAGCCCAATGGTGGGCAGAAGGCTAGGCGTTGCTGGAGGCTCTAGGACGGCCTTGACCAGCTAAGGTGACCAGCTGTAGGCTGGCAGGCTGCGGTGGGTGGCCATGGTGGTCAGACCAAGGCTCCAGGCTGAGAAGGAGGCATCCAGATGATTTAGGAAATTAAGTGACTAGTTGTTGGATAAAACTAGTAACAATGGGTGCAGCTTGCTGCTCACCTGGGACTTGTCAGGGGCTGAACATTAATATGATTAGTATACTTGTCAAAGGCTCCCTTCCCACCCTTCCTTCTGTGTAATTACAGTGCCGTTTACACATACACTGGATTCTCAACCAACCCGTGCAGTGGTATTTACATTGTGAAGCTTTTGGAGGGAAGCCTGTTAGCATGTGTGCATGCATGTGTGTGTGTGTGGTTCAGGTGGTTCAGGTGGTTCAGGCAAGAGTCCCTGCCTTCTTTCCGTCTCCCTGTCTTTCCATATAAGATCTTAAAAATCTTTTCCTCCTTCTCTTATAGGGAACTAGAGGGCTTGAGACCTCTTTTACATCCTGCATTGGCTCTGACCACAGTCCTTCCCTGCTCTCACAAGTGGAGCTCAGCCCTGCTTTCCTTCCTGTTGATTCCCAGTCAGCTACATGGTAAGTTTCATTATCTCTGCTCAGTGCCACAAGGTAAAAGTCCTGACAGCCGCTGTGTAAAATCCATTAGTGCTGGGTGTGGATGGCAGACTACTGGATGCCCATCAAGGATTATTCAGTCATTTCCCAGTCCAGCTGTAAGGAGAGGGTGGTGGTATTGAATTAGCATTGGAGCTGAACTTCAGCATAGATTGTTATAGGCATAAAATATGAACTAAAATATGTGACAGAATTAAATCCATCAGTTCTAATAAAGGAAACAGTAGAAAGCAAAGAAATCTTGGACCCTTAAATCCCATTAACCAGGCCAGAGAGAAAATGTGTTAAAAGGGAGCTGCTCTGTATCTTTTTTCATTGTTTGATGAAATAATCTTTTTCACCCTTTAAGTGGTGTGTTTAAAAATCTTGGTATTTCTGAAACAAAGAATACACAGCCACCGAGCTAGCTGGGTTTTATACCTTCCTTTTCTGAGTATTGTCCTTCAGTACAATACAGAGCCATTTCTTTGTTCTTGCAAGCTAGCAGTTAAATTGTATGTAAATGTATGCAAATTAGATGCTGTCTAATAAAGAGAGTCATTAGATGGAAGAAATATTTAGTTTAGCAAAAAAAGAAAAGAAAAGAAAGCAGGTGTATTTTGCAATAGAAAATGTAAGATTGCAAAAAACCCCCTCAAACTTTGGGTGAAGATTTCTAAAAAAGCTATTAAAATATTTTCTAAAAGGTCTACCCTACTCTTGGTCTTTCCGTGTGTGTGCAAAAGGGGGAGAGAGAGGGAAGGAGAGATTACACACAAATGCACAAACTTGTATATTACACATTATACGGGCCTATATTTAGACACATGCATATACACAAATATTGGGCATGGAGATGACATAAATATTGAGCACAAATAATATTTATATATAATATTTTTGTAAAATATTTATATCACCTCCACACATGATAAGTAAACTCATGCATGCAATTATCAATTTGTGTTTTTTATATGCCCCACATGTACAGGCGACATCTTTGTGGTAAACTAATGTTTGACTTAGCAATTTATTTATTATACATTTTGTCTGGCTTACCAACATTCTGTTAATTAATCAGTCTCTCCTGGACTTAGTTTAATATTCTACGCCCTAAAAAGCTTCAAGCTTCCACCATTTTAATGATTTTTCTTGGTCCCCTTCAAACGTGCTGTTTCCTAAAAATAATGCTTTCTTGAGTGATGGGCAAGATTCAGTCCTTTTGCTAGGCATAAAAAAGACCCAGTGTAAAAGCCTGAAATCTTAGCAGCCTAAAATGCTAGGGATTGGGACCTTTTCACCAACAAGAGGTAGAGAAACTTGTAGTTGGAACATGCAGTGCTCCCCAACCCCTAAACATTGTTAAGTAATGGAACTTCCATTTTTCCTTTTTCTAGAAACTAAGAAAATATTTTTGATTATTTTGATAGCTTCTCTGAACTGTACCATTTTAGCCTGGGGACCCAATCTTGTAGTTATTTTGCTTAAGCAGATCAGCTTATGTAGGGTTGGGGCCTCTGTGTCTAAAGGTGCCTGTTGTTTTTGTGATCAGTTATCATGGTTCAGGCAGGTGAATAGATATTTGTGCTATGACTAGTATTTCTTTTTCATGGCAAATTTGAAAGGCTGGAAGTATATAGACATATATGCGTATGTGTATAAAATATATGTATATAGAAATAATGTTGTTTAAATATTTACATATAAAGCCAAGGGATTGGACTCCTTCCCAGAATTACTGGAACTACCTTCCCCAGGAACATTTGGACTTGAATAATCTCGACAGCAACACTTTTCTTCTGAAACTAAACAACTTGCGAAAAGAGTGACTGGCTCTGGATGGCTTACTGATCACGTGGGCTCTTTTTCTTATGCTGTTGTAGGGGCCTCCATGGTTGGGATAATATATTTTTAGTTAATTACACTAAGATTCCTTTTTGTTGCTCTGTTCCTCCAATGGCTTCATCTTGGTTTATTTTACCAGGGAGCATCCTGGGACTGGCAGCGTGGGAGTACTTTTATAAACGTTCTAGGATATCTGGCATTGAGTATCCTGGGAGACAGGGGCCTCCTTAAATGTTTGGCCAAAGCCATGCAGCAGTGAGAGGTTTCACACAAAGTTTTCAACCAAACCAGTCAAAAAACTTAGCAGAATCTGCATATTTCTGGGGTTTGTTTCAAACTGAAAGCAGAGGGATTCAACAGGTATGGAAACAGAAGCCACTCTCTTATCTTTCTATAACATGAGTTTGTTGCATGGGAGGTGAATTGTACATAAAGAAAGGAAGGCTGGTCAAGAGGTTAAGGGCATTATTCTGTCACTTGAGAATGCAGCTGGAATATTGTGTCCAGTTCTGGGCACCACAGTTCAAGAGGGATGTAGAGAAGCTGGAAAGAGTCCAAAGGAGGGCCACGTGAATGATTAGAGGTCTCGAGAACAGACCATACAAGAAGAAGCCGAGGGACATTGGACTGTTCAGCCTGGGAAAGAGAAGACTCAGAGGGGACTTGGTGGCAGCCTTTAAGCATATAAGGGGCAAACATATGAGGGGCTAGGAAAACACCTGTTGACCAAGGCACCCCGGGGGAAGACTAGGAATAATGATCATAAACTGATAGTGGATTGCTTCAGATTAGAAAAAACATCTTAATGGTTTGTGTGTCCAGAGTCTGGAATAGATTCCCCCAGAAGTGGTACAGTCACCTTCCCTGGGGATCTTCAAAGGATGACTGGATGCACACCTTGCTGGGGTCATCTGACCCCAGCAGTCTTTACTGCCTTGAGCAGGGGGGCTGGACCTGATGATCTCTGAGGTCCCTTCCAGCCCCTAACTTCTATGAATCCTGGGTTTAATACCTACCACCAAACGAGTGACCTTGGGCAAATCATTGGATGCCAGCTCAACAAAGGTAGTGAAGCACCTGAGTATCTTTGAAGATGTTTCTATCTGTGTCTTCACTCCTCATCTCTAGAATGGGTGAACAAGTACCACCTGACTTTGTAGTGAGTAATGTAGACCGTGTATGTGCCTGAGATGGATAAGGGTGCCAGCTCTGTGACATGGAGAATACCATACTAAATCAGATGGATGGTTTATCTAGTCAAGTACCCTCCAACAGTGGATGTGATCAGCTACCTCAGAAAAAGCCTAAGGTGGACAGCTGTAGAATAAGCAATATTTTTGTCAAAGATCTGAAAATAAAAACGAAAGAGTAAATATCCTCAATTAGTTATCATGGCTCGAAATGGTTGTTAAAAAGAGTTTTAAAGAATAAAATATGCTGCACTAAACTAATCCTGGTGCTAACGAACAGGCTGGGGGGCTAGCAGCTTTTGATATTACCTAGTGCTTATTATTGTTATTATTATTATTTCTTTTTAATTATGCAAAGTGCTAATCAGTTTGATTATGCACAGTGCTAATCAGGTTAATTATGCAAAGTGCTAATCAGTTGTTCTCTAAGCACACGAGGAGAGCAGAGGTTCTGGCAGTGAATGGTGGTACTGGATGGGGGTAGTCACGGCAGTCATTCCTTATTAAGAGAAGAGTAGGTGAGATGACGGGGAGATTTTTGTCTCTTTAAAAAAAATTATGGAAGGAAAAAGTCATGAGGATCATGGTTCTGGAAGGGCAATGTCTTCTCTCTCAGCCAGGCAGGGTTTTTTTTGTACTGCTTGGTTGAGTTGGACAGTATGTGTTAGACTTTTAGAGGTTACCACTTGAACCAGTAAAACAGAAAGGGGTGTTGTTGCTGGAGGACAGCATGAAAGAAAGTCTTGTCATCATACAAATTATCTCTGGGTTGTTGGACTCCAAAGGCTTTCACTTGCTGGGGAAGCTAAAAGTATTTAGGGAATCCACCCAGCTATAAGCATCTCTGAAGCATGCATACTCAGAATGCTATGAATGGTTCTTGGAAGACAGTTCACATTCTGTGTTTTCTCTAAGAAAAGTGTGCAGGGGAGGATTATCACCTGAGCGGTCAAAACATATTCTGTTAAGTAACATATCCACAAACTAAACTGTGTCTGAAAATATTTTAGGTGGGCCTTAACAAGGGGTCTTGCCTTACTCTGTAGTTGCTCTTCTTACTCTGTAATCATGGGTGAGTTACACATTTGAGTAAACCAGAACCTCCTCCTCTGCTGACAGATACTGCCAGCTATTGTGGCTGATAGCTGACTGATTTCTGCTCATTTTCTTTCATCTGAATATATCTTGCTGCTAATGTGTGGGTTCCTGTTCACTGTAGGTCTTGCAGCTGGAACACGTGAGCAGAGAGTACTTGCAATTGTAACGTTGTGAAATACATTGAAGATATTCTGGCATAAACAAAAGACCATTCCATTTTAATGAATTGAATACTTGAAGGGTCCAGCAGTAACAATATAAGGGAAGCAATGCTTGAAATTAACCATTAAAAATGGTTTCTTAATGGGAGTGGTGCCAACTGTCCAAGTATATTTAAGCCCTGCCTTCCAAGTAGATTTAAAACAGGAATTAACATCAGCAATTTGTAGCTGAAGCTTGTATTTGAAAGTGGATGTACATTTCCTTGCTATTGAGTGAGCACCACCCAACAAAACTATTGCCATCTTAAGGGAAGGAATCTCTCTAGGAAGAGAAGGGTTTGCTGCCCATTAACTGGGCTTATCTTGTCTGTACACTTTATCTTTCCTTTTTCTCTCTCACAAGCCTTGAAAATTACCATTCTAATATTAGGAATATGAAGTTCCCCATACCACATTGGATTAATGGTTCCATCATTAGATCTGAGATCCTGACTTTGAAGAATACGTTTACAGCAGAAGGTGAAAAACTTACTACACCTTGGCTGCTTGTATAAATGCATTACATGAGGCAGAAACATTCCTTTCTGATGCTAGTGCTAATGGACCAATGTTCTGGAGCAGAGGTTGACTTGACAGCGTATAGCCTAGGGGCTGGAACTAGCTTGTGGAGCCCCTGGATCTGACCTGT